ACCATTTTTGGTAGTTAGTCATCTATCACCTTAGACCATGTGAATTAAATTACAATTGAGGACCAGCCCAAAATGTGTTTATAGTGAATAAACTCTTCAATATAGCAACTTTACCTTTCAGGATGGGGACTTAGAAGGAATTGGGAGGAGAGAAATAGATAGGTAAAAGAATAGGAGAAGGTTTCAAGTGAAGCTAGAAGACACACGGTGATCTCACAAACTCCAGGAAACTGTTGAAGACAAAAGGGAAAGACGGTGCAAGAACAAAATCAAGAATAGAACAACTTAACAGTAATAGGGAAGCTATAAATTGTACTAACTTTGATATTAATGACCATTGAGTGAAGGAAAAAAAGAAAAGAAAAAGAAAGAAGAAATCCCAGGGCAGGAAAGAGTACAAAAAGAGAGATGAAGAGTAATGTGGAGGAGGAAGAGACTGAATGGTAAAAAGAAGAAAGAAAAAAGGAATACTTTGCAGAATGGGAAGAAAAAATTTTAAAAATAAAAATAAAAATAGGCAAAGAAAGAAAATTTGAAGAGCCTCTTTCAGGGTATATGTCTGCTGACACAATAGACATTATGGGCAGCAATATGCACAACTAAGTCAATTAGTCTCAGCTAGCCAAAGGCACACCCCTGAGATTCAGGCTGATTTCTGGCTGCAAGGCTCAAATTGAGCTCCCTGACCTCCTGTAAGGTTGAACTCTGCAAGGTTCTATTGCAGGTTCCAGCTGCCCTTCCCCTGAAGATAGTCCAAGTTGTGATGGAAGGTGATGATCCCCTCAACTTATCAACTACAGAGGTCTGATGTACCTTTAGTGCTGTTGTTCACTTCTATTCTATATTTTGGAGCTCAGTAAAATGACCTTTATGACTGCCTGTGTCTCTGTAGTGTGGATCCAGGTAACAGCACAACCAGGAGGCTTGAGAGCATGGGAGGGTAGGGGGAATGCTGCAGAGGCACCTGTGTGGCTGGGTAGTTCTCACCAATCTGCTCCAATGAAGGTCCAGGGCACTATAGGTGGAGGAGTTGTAGGAGTAGAGAGCTCCCCATGCAGCTGGGTGATTCTCACCAGTCTTGAACTTTTTTTTTGAGAGAGAGTCTTCCTATGTAGTTCAGGATGGCTTTGAGCTCACTGTGTAACCCAGGCTGCCATTAAAATTGCAGTGATTCTCCTGCCTTAGTCCTCTTGAGTGCTGGGATTACAGACATGTGCCACCATATTTGGCCACCAACAAACTTTATGAAGGAAGGTTTTTTTGGAGTTTTTTTTTTTTTGGTTTTTGTTTTTTGTTTTTGTTTTTTGAGACAGGGCCTCACTATGTAGTCCAGGATGGACTAAAAAATCACTATGCAGACCAGGTTGGCCTCAAGCTCACAGCAATCCTCCTTCTTCAGCCTCTTGAATGCTAGGGTTACAGGCATGTGGCACCACACTGGGCAGAAGATTTTTTAAGACATAGAACTGTCCCCGGATTTTCAGTCATGTTGGACAGCAGTCCACTTTGATAAATGTTCAGAAAAAAGTTACATTATAAGGGAATTCTAAACTAACGTAGGAAATTGAAATTAATGGCCTAGAATTCATTAGGGATATAAATTATTTCTAAGTGGATAATATTCAGAAATTTTTAAAATGAGGATGGTAGATGTTAGTTGTATTCTTACTAATTTTAGGCAGTAGACTAACCCATTTGATTGGGTTCCCAATACTAGTCACATCAACAATAGTAATAACTCATATTTTGGTACTTTTTGGATTTTGTCTTGTTCATAGACAGAGTCTTACTATGTTGCCTATACTGGCCTTTAACTTGCCATCCTCCTGTGCAGCCTCTGGAGTAGTGGAATTGTAGCCATGTTCCACTATAACTGGCATGTTTTATATTTTTACTAATATTTTGTAAGCTGGAAATCTGATGGAATGCATTAAGTTCCCTTAGAGTTAGGTGTAGCAATACAATTAGGGTTAAAGTTAAGGTTAGAATTAGGGTTAGAGTGAACCCCTTCTACAGAGGCAGAGGTAGGATAATAAAAAGTTGAAGCTGAGCCTGGTCAACTTAATGACTGAAGGCGACCTTGTCTCAAAATTTTAAAAACTAAAAAAAAGAGCAGGGATGTAGCTCATTGCAAAAGGCCTTGGTTCAATTCCCAGTAAATCTTTCAGAAATTTCTTTAAAAATTTTTTACTACACACAATTTATAATTAAGTGTATTTATAGAGCACAAAGTGATATTATTATGTATGAATACAATTTTCAATAATTAAATGAAGCATTGTAGGGGTGAGAATATTTGAAATTACTAATAGTAACTATTTATAACTTCCTTTACATATTGAATCATAGGTCTCGCCTAGTTCAGTTTATAACAGTGGTGAGCAAGGGAGTATAGGCAAAAAAGATAAATTTAAAAATTGAAAGGGAAATACTGCTATTTTGATGATCTTAAAGAATTCTTTTTTTTTTTTTTTTTT